CAAATGACGCTGCTGAAGATATGTCACCTGAAAAACCACTGTTGGAGAAGAAACTCTACCCGGTTTTGAGAGGGAAAACACTGAAAGCCGTTAATGAAGTTATTACCACTGATGTGACTGCTACCGATAATGGGACATTTCCTGATGGAGCAGATGAACCCCACGTGAAGCAGAAGCCAATGAGACAGAGACCAGTACGGAAGAAGATACGTTCTGTAAAATGAAGAGACTTTGTTGTATTTTAATTTTGTGTTTGTAAATTCTGTACATATTAAGTTATTGTTAATTATCTATTGGTTAAATTTAAGTGCCTATCGTTCGGGACGAACAATACTAAGGAATGAACAGTGTTACGATAGCGGAAGTCACGCAACGCTGGGAGCATGCGCGGTGGAGTTTCTAGAATTATCGGGGAATCCCGCGAAAGTCCGAGTTTCTGCTACACGCCCTTTTTTTTAATATATAAGCCTGGCAAAGAAAGCCAGCGATATAGGCAGATAGATTGAAGAGATAGATAATTGAGTGAAGCGAACGGTAGTGACGGTAATATAAAGTGTGTGTTTTGTTATCGAGATTGCAAACGTATTGACTGTGGAAATTCTGTGTATTACAAAGTTGTGTCGAGAAAGAATAAACTGGTTTAATTAAGAAAGGACTTGTATCGCTGAAGTTCCTCGGAAATAATTTTTACCGGAAATTAAGGAAATTAATAAACGAGCAGATACGTAACCATATATAGCTAATTAAATGTATGTTATGGGATAGCTCCATATGGGCCTGTTACGCTAAAATTCAGGGTTCAGGACTTTTGATGGCTACAGCACACATAGCTGATTGATTAGCATTGCCAAAGTTTAATACATTCGTTTTTTTGTTTAACCCTGTTTGTAGCGGCTATTTTTTAGTCTGTTATAGCGTGACACTTAAACAACAAAGTTAAAAAAATTATGTTTTTTACTAGAAATTTCGTTGTGCTTAGGAAATTATTTGATTAATAAAATAAGTTTTTTATCGACAATTTGCAACCGACCCCAACAGATGACGACAAAAGAAATTGGTTGCTTTCTTGTGAGTTCCGTTTGTTTGTTTTTTTTTAAAGAAGCTAGGTGAATAGCGTTGTATTTATAATAAATTAACTATTTTAAGTGTTTAGGAGATATAACTACTGCTTTAAAATTATCGGTGTTTATTTCAGTACGCAACTTTACAGAAAAAATTGCATAATGTGATAAATATTAATATTATTAATCGGCTGACAAGCGGATAGCGTAGTATTACTAATAATAGTAATACTATTACTATTACTTAGTTATTATTAGTAGTAGTATGACGACCAACATTTACTAAGTTACTTATAATTTATAGAAGATAAAGAAATAAATAAAAGTATAAACCTGTATACAATTACAATAAATTGAATAATATTTAACTATCTAACTGGAGTATGAGTAGTGCTAACGTGTTAAACTAAAAAATAGCATACGATATTACAGTTACACATATTATTTTTCTTCTTTAATTTTTAATATAATTATAAGGCATAGTTGTTCAATGATAACTTATTGCGATTTTAATGTAAAATTAAAAATCGATGTCTTACAATTCACAAGGACCAACCTTCATTGCTAGTGTTACTATGGTGACAGAGTTTTAGTTATAACTTATAAGTTAGTGCTTATTTTACTGTCCCTTACTAATACTAGTAATTAACACCCAACTCAGGTATTAGATATTTAATTTATGCCTACCTTCACAGTTATTTAAAGTTTCACATTATACACGCAAATATTAAACATAATATTATAATAATCATAGAAGGTTAATTACACTTACTTGGGAGATTCATATTTTCAAATAGTGCTACAATTGCATTGTAATGGACAAAAACAAAATGCTGCTACAAACATGGTCAAAATTGGGAAGTTTAAAAAACGCCAAGGCTCCTGGGCCAGATAATATTTCCCAAAGGGTTTTGAAGAAGGTTTGGAAATGTGAATCACTTACTACTATATTTTATCAGTTCTTGAATAGTGGGCAGGTACCAGAAGATTGGAAGTTAGCTAATGTAACTCCTCTTTTCAAGGGAGGCATTAAAAATTGTCCCATAATTATTGACCCATTAGTCTTACATCAGTTGTGGGAAAAGTTTTGGAAAGTCTGTTAAAAGATGCTTTGCAAAGTCATTTAACAAAGTTTAGAATTTTATTGGATATTCAACCTGGTTTCACTATGTGAAAATCTTGCCTTACAAATCTTTTAACATTCTTTGAAAAGGTTACTGCTTATGTAGATGAAGGTAAGAGTGTAGATTTGGTTTATCTAGATTTTCAGAAAACCTTTGACAAGGTGCCACATAAAAGGCTTGTAAAAATTATCTCTATGAGTGTGGGGGATAAGTTAGCTAATTGGATAGAAGAGAGGCTGGATGGAAGAAAGCAGAGGGTTGTTACAAATGGAGTTCAGTCAAACTGGATTAATGTCACAAGTGGTGTACCTCAGGGTTCAGTCTTAGGACCTTTGCTCTTTATCATTTACATCAATGACATAGATGAAGGAATAATCAATAAATTACTTAAATTTGCAAATGATATTAAGATCTTGGGTGTTGCTAGCTGTGAAGAGGATGCTGCTGATTTACAATAGGATTTAGATCATTTAATGAGTTGGACAAATAAATGGCAAATGGGTTTTAATTATAATAAATGTAAGATAATGCATGTAGATTATCATAATTTGAATTATAAGTATAATTTGGATGGGAATAACCTTAATAGTGTTATGAAGGAAAGGGATCTTGGTGTAATAGTCGATCAGCCTCTAAAGCCATCCAAGCAGTGTGATGTTGCTAGTGGTAGGGCAAATGAGATCTTAGGTTGTATTTATAGAAATATTGAATACAAGTGTAAAAGAGGTTATACTTTCATTGTACA